GGATTGGGCGCCCGCCGACGAGTCGGACCTCGTGGAGGCGTTTAAGGTGTTCGACGAGAACGGAGATGGGTTCATATCGGCGAAGGAATTGCAGGTTGTGCTGAAGAAGCTGGATTTGGCGGAGGGAGGGGAAATGGAGAGGGTGGAGAAGATGATCGTCTCCGTCGACAGCAACCATGACGGTCGCGTTGACTTCTCCGAGTTCAAGAACATGATGCGCAGTGTCGTTGTCCCTTCCTCGTGATCAGTTTTTGTTCTCGCTTTGTCTGTATCAATCTCATTCCGATCTATCTCGTCTCTATCGTAGGTTTTTTCTATTTTCATTTTCTCTCCCAATTCAACTTCATAGATATATAAGACGTATCCAAGATAAGATCGAATGCATTTAATTCTCCTTTATTAATTGTGTCAATGAAAGATTTTTGACCCATGGTTTGTTTACATTGCTTTGGAGGATCATTCATTCGGAAGAAAAAAATTCAAACTTTCTTGTCGAAATTCGAGCTTCTGTAAATATATACTTTTGATTCGTATGTTTACATGTTTATAAATCTCGATGTCACCGGAAAACATGGGAAGGAAAAAGGTGAAGCCTTTGCGTTATTTACAACTTGACTTCTATGCTTTCGTATGTTTGTCTTGACCGATTTGAGAAGAACCTAAAAGCGATTTTCACGCGTAGAAATTCCACCTGCTTGTGATTTTTGTTTTTGTGCATGAAAAAAATTGATCAGATGTGGTTGTGGGCAATGGAGCAGACAGGGTAACAGCTGAGACTCTTCGTTTAACTTCAAGCAGAGGACCAAAGAGATGCGTTCTGGAAAGTTCCAGTGCATAGCAAATCTTCTGCGTTCTTGCAGAGATAAAAGATCTCATCTTTCTGGGAAAATCCTTCATGGGTTCATCGTTCGGACAGGAGTATCCTCCGACACTTACCTCTGTAACCGCCTGGTTGATCTGTACGTGGAGTGCGGCGATGGAGATTATGCCCGTAAGGTGTTCCGTCAAATGCCCGTGAAAGACATTTACTCTTGGAACACTTGGTTGGCGTATATCTGCAGAAATGGAGATCTTCAGGAAGCTTGCCAGTTGTTCGATGAAATGCCCCAAAGAGATGTTGTTTCATGGAACAACCTGATCAGCGCGTTGGTACGAAATGGGTGCGAGGAAAGAGCTTTGATCGTTTATGAAAGGTTGGTGTCTGAAGGGTTTTTGCCCACCCGGTTCACGTTGGCCAGCGTTTTGAGCGCGTGTGGTAAGCTCCTGGATGATGTTTCTGGCAAGATATGTCATGGGACTGCTGTTAAAATAGGTCTTTGCAAGAACATTTTTGTTGGGAATTCGTTGCTTTCTATGTATGCAAAGTGCGGGCTTATGTTGGATTACGGTGTTTGTGTCTTCGAAGATTTGTCTGAGCCTAATGAGGTCTCTTTCACAGCTGTAGTTGCCGGGTTAGCTCGGGAAAACAGAGTGTTGGAGGCAGTTAAGATGTTCAGATTGATGTATGAGAAAGGTGTCCGGACAGATTCTGTTTGCTTATCGAATGTTCTAAACGTCTGTGCTCATGGAGAATGTGATGATTGGAGAGATGAAACATGCCACAATCTGCTCGGGAAACAGATCCATTGCCTCGTTTTGAAACACGGATTCTTACGAGATCTTTATCTAAACAATTCATTGCTTGAGATATATGCCAAGGATAAGTCTATGGATTATGCAGAGCAGATTTTTTCTGAGATGTCTGAATTGAATGTTGTCTCTTGGAACATAATGATTGCTGGGTTTGGCCAGGAATTCCGAAGTGACAAATCCGTAGAATATCTTGAGAGGATGAGAGATTCTGGGTTTGAACCCAATGAAGTTACATATATCAATGCTCTTGGAGCATGTTTCAGATCCGAAAACATTGAAACTGGTAGACGGATATTCGATAGCATGCAGAATCCGAGTGTCGGAGCATGGAATGCTATGCTTTCTGGATACTCTAAGTATGAATACTACGAGGAAGCGATAAACTTTTTCAGACAAATGCAGTTTTGGAATTTGAAACCTGACAGAATCACCTTGAGTGTTATACTAAGCTCTTGTGCCAGAACGAGATTTCTGGAGGGCGGGAAACAGGTCCAGGCGGTGTCACTAAAGATCGAGCTTTCCACAAACTGTCATATAGTTAGTGGCCTTATTGCAGTGTACGCAGAATGTGGGAAAATAGAAGTGTCTGAACGTATATTTGACCACATAATTGAAATGGACGTCACTTGCTGGAACTCGATGATTGCAGGCCTTGCACGCAACGCTCGGGACATGAAAGCTCTAATGCTCTTCAAGAAAATGTTCCAGATTAGGGTTTATCCTAATGAAACTTCTTATTCTACTGTATTGGGTTCCTGCTCGAGATTATCCAGTTTGCTTCATGGAAGACTGTGTCATGGACAGATAGTGAAAAACGGGTACTTAACTGACCCTTTTGTTGGAACAGCTCTTACTAACATGTACTGCAAGTGTGGTGAAGTAGATTCAGCTCGGGAGATTTTCGATACTGTATCGAGGAAACACATGATAATTTGGAATGAGATGATACATGGGTATGCTCAGAATGGACGAGGACATGAAGCAGTACATCTCTACACAGAGATGATTGCATCTGGTGAAAAACCAGACATGGTGACCTTTGTTTCTGTCTTGACAGCTTGCAGCCATTCAGGACTGGTCGAGATGGGACTTGAGATATTCAATTCAATGGGAGGAGATCATGGAATGGAACCAGAATTAGATCATTACATCTGTATCATAGATTGCCTTGGAAGAGCTGGCCGGTTAAAAGAGGCGGAGATCCTCGCAGAAAACGCACCTTACAGGAACAGTCATGTCATGTGGGAGCTTTTGCTTAGTTCATGTAGAATCCATGGTAATGTGAGCTTGGCGAAAAGAGTGGCTGATAAACTCATGCGCCTTGACCCTCAGAATTCAGCTCCATACGTGCTGCTGGGTAATACTTACAGTTCTCTAAGACAATGGGATGAAGCTGCAGCTCTTCAAGGACTAATGAACAAGAACCGGGTTCTTAAAAATCCCGGGATTAGCAGGATCACGAATATCGGTGATCGGATATAAGATATCACAAGGAGCTAATCCTTTCAGGGACAAGGTGATTTTGTCATAACCTATGATTTTGATGGTAAAATGTTCTGTCTTTTGATTAGCACATTGATTCAGTGATCCTCTACAGGAAAAACTAAAGTATCGAGTGTTTTTGGTGATTAGAGGAAGAATTACAGAGATAACATTGTGGCAATCTTTTCAAGGAAGGGAGAGAAACAGAAGATGAGGTTTGATAATAACATTAAGATTCAGATTCCCAAGAAAAGAGGCAGTGATTCAGAAATTAACAGCAGAAGGCAGAATCTCATTGGAAAGCTCAATCACACAATGAATTAGATTACCATAAATTGGTCCACCCGTTTTTTTTGCCTTTATAAAGCCCCCAAACCCCAAACACAACCAACACACCAAACCACAAACCACAAACCACATTCCAAACACTTAAATTTAGCCTTTGCTAGAGCTTTAGATCACTAAGCTCAGAAAGAAACAATGAAGACCACCACCTTCTTCTCCATGTTCATCCTCCTCTCCCTTCTCTTGGCCACCACCAACAAGGCAGCAATCCCCTGTGGCACGGTCAACATGAGGGCGGCACCCTGCGTTCAGTATGCCACAGGCAGGGCCCCGAACCCGGGACCTCAGTGCTGCAACAGCTTGAAACAGCTGTCTCAGGTTGTGAAGACGGTGGATGACAAGAAGGCCGCATGCCGCTGCCTCAAGGCCAGCGGCAAGACATTGGGTGTTCAGGACAGGTTCCTTAGCAAGATCCCTCAAACCTGTGGCATCAATGTCGGGTTCCCTGTCTCTACATCTACCAATTGCGAGACGTAAGTGTTTCTGAACCAATCCCTTTATTCCATCCTTGCTGTTTCCGTTTCTTAATCCATGGTTCCAAATCTTGGTTTTTGCAGGATTCATTAAATGAGACGGGAGCTACGGGAAATGATCAAGAAAGAAGTAGAACTTTTCATAGGTTTTTCGAATAAAACAGTTCTAGAGGCAATGTAGTAGAATGTGGTCTTAGCTCCAGACCCTTGTTGTATTTGCTTTGATGGCATATCATATGTATGATGCTCAGAACCCATGTCAACCTGAATGGGTTTTGGTTTAATAATACAGAGTTTGTTACCAATCTTGAAACGTGAAAGACGAAAAATCCGGAACTGGAAATGCTATAAGATCTCATCACTCAAACTGGAAAATGAGAAGTGATCAAGAGCTGACCAGATGTTAATTTGGCTTGGGATGGAGACCGAAACAGAGTGGTGAAGCTACGTCAAAAGCAAGCTGTCACCAAGGAATTTCCTGGCCATCCCAAGCGAAGAACTTACCGTTATCCTGAATCTTTGCATTGTTGATGATGTGCAAGAGCTTCTGCACTGAGAACTCTCTAGTGAAAAGCTTCCCTTCAGCAACATTCCTCTGAAATGGACGTGAAAGATCCGTTTCTACTGTGCCCGGATGCAGTAAAATGCATATGACAGGATCCTTCTTCCTACCAAGCTCAACTGACACGGTTTTTGTCACTGCCAAGAACAATAACTGGGAGAAATTAATGGTTTTAACGCTTCAAATCAGATCTATAAGATCAAGAATCAATTAAAATCAGTATTGTGTTCTGAACCAAGTGACCGGGTTTGTACATTGATTAAGTGCAGATTTTGAAGCCCTGTACGAATGCCAACCACCAAGGCGGTTATCTCCAATAGAGCCGACTCTTGCGCTTAAATTGGCAACAACAGCAACCTCTCTTTCAGTTCCTGTTCCTCCACCAGCTTTAAGCAGAGGCCACATATGCTGCAAATAGAAACCATAGACTTGCCAATATCTCATGGTACAAGGAAAGAAAGCATCTTCATAGATAGAGTTTCCTAAAGAAACGGGACTTTCAAAAATCAGCATGGGAGCAAAACTGATATTCTCTCATATCCAAAATTTCTTCTTCGATCCATGTAACATGAAGAGTAAGAGAAACAAAGATATGCGAAAATGAGATTTGCTCAAACTGCCTCTGGAGAATACCTAAAGATGAACCTTTCTCAATACTGTAGAGAATGTGCTGTACTTACCTTCACCACTAAGATAGGACCAACAGCGTTAACCTCATAAGCAAGCATCAGTGATGACTTTTCAACCTTGTTCAATGTTGTTTCTGTACTGGTATCAAAGGAAAATAAGCTGGGTTAAAAAAAAAAAATCCCTATTCGATCCCCAGACTTTTGATAAAGTTTGAGCAAAACTCTCGAGTCTCAGATATAAAATTCGGACATGAAGGAGAAAGCCTAACATTTCCAATGAAAAAAATTCCGAAGGTGTTGACAATATAACACAGAACCTAATTTCATACATACAGGCTACAGCTAGAGAACTAAACATATAGCTTGCTTTCTGCCATAAAAGTGAAATCAAGTTCAGAATCAGTTCTGAGACGAAGATTACTCATACCTGGGTGTAAGATGCCCGGTATTGACAGAATTCCGGATGTATTTATAAGAAGATTGAGAGAGCCATATCTTTCTCTTACAAACTTGGCTGATTCCTGAAACATGTAATTAGCTTGTAATAACAGCTGATAACAGTTCAAATGCTCCCCAGAAAAAGCAACATAAAAAGAACTAGAAACATGCGAACGCCTTTGATCTTTTGGTTCTGTTGTAAATGCGGGAACTTGAAGAGAGATGAGTGATATTAAAACCAAAAGGCTGAAACTTTCTTCATCAATCATTAAGCCTTTTTTCTTTTCTCACAAGAGAGATGGAGAATAACCTCTATAGTATTTTCTTGTGTAACATCGAGCTGTTTGATGCAAAGACGTTCTGAGAAACTATGCTTCAAATCTAGCAGACCCGTCGCGCCTTTGGGATTACGACAAGTGGCAACAACGTGCCCTTTGTCATTGTTCTCGAGCAACTGCCTCACCTGTAAACAAAGAGTAAGAAAAACTCAAAATCAACCAAAATTCCATGACTCTTAAGCTCCATCAGCAATGAAACAGATGAGGAAAGAGCCAAGAAACTCCAGTTCTACTGAAAAACTATTCCTTGTTCTACCACGCAGATTCAGTTATTCTCATGGATTTAAGCACTTTCAGTGCTAATACAGTTTTGTGGACTTTCAACCCCACAATCACACTGGAGAGCTGATGCCATCACCAACCCAAACCAATTCGGAAAAAAAAGGATATAAACGCACAAAAAGGTCAGTTCATGATCCGATTCATTTAATCAGAAAACATGTAGAACACAATTCACCCGCAAAGTAAAAAACTTTCAGGATCGATTTGGCATACTGGGTTCGGTTACCCACTCAACTTCACAGGAATTCTCAGAATTCAGACAAGGAATCGAGGGGAAAGGAGCTCACAAATTCAAGACCGATGCCTCTGGAAGCTCCCTGGACCATGGAAACCCCACCTTCCCATCTGGGTATGGAGGAAAACGACGACAATGACGTGGCAAGAGCAGCTACTCTCGTCTTGGGCAGAGCGGCCATTACCGACGTCGCTGCAAGCCACGCTCCTCCGCTCCTAAGCAGAACGTTCATTGGGTTATACGGATAAGAACCGTATTCCGCCTCTCGTAGTTACAGATAAAAAGGAAGGATCATAAATGATGCCCCAACGCCTCTATAGAGATTCTCGTGATTGCCATAAGACTCGTAACCACGAAACTTTGCCCAAAGAATCATAATTTGTTGGAGAATGAGTGTACGATTGCACGGTTCTAATTTCCTGTTCTACTAGTAAACATTGTTTTTTAAGATATGATGTACAAGAACACATTGTTTAAAAGTGTAATTATACAAGACAAAATATAAAGAATGAACAAAACTTTTATTTTCACTGCCTCCCATGTTTCTACCCTTTGGAATGTCCTCAGGCGCAAGTTAGCGTAGACCACGGTGAAAACTGCATGAAAGCTCCTGAACTTTGACACCATGGGCTTAAAATTTTAAACCACAATGCATTGCTCATGGAGGTCTTGGATTCTTCATGTTCGATCTCATCGGTTTAAAAATCCATGAAAGTCCAGCTGCGAGCCTGCAAGATGGAGATGCAATCAAAATACTTGAAACAAATGTGAATTGATAACGCCCCCAGTGGATAATTACATCATATGTGCTCGGATTGAAACAAAGTTCAAGGATTAGAATACACTCGTCTACCAAAATTCAGTAGCATATAATGTATATCTTCTCACTAAGAAACATATCTACCTCTAGGGAGTAGATCTTTACCTCTGGGAAGTAGATCTTCTCAACTTCCATCCTCGTGCAAAGGACAGAGATTTTTTCAGTCTCGGGTTTCAGTTATCAAGCAGCCTGCAGCCCTTTGCTTTGAGTTTTGACTCGAGACCAAAAAACTTTAGTCCAGCCAGCACTAAATCGGCAGTCTTCTTCTGCATATGCTCAATTAACATTTCATCATAGACAATCATATCAGCCTCTGTTAAAAGTTTACGACTTTTTAGCTCAGTGAAGACTTCCCTTCCTGCTTGGATCGTTCCATGCTTACACATGCCAGAGATAATAGCACAATATATAACTTTCCTCCGCTCCTAAGCAGAACGTTCATTGGGTTATACGGATAAGAACCGTATTCCGCCTCTCGTAGTTACAGATAAAAAGGAAGGATCATAAATGATGCCCCAACGCCTCTATAGAGATTCTCGTGATTGCCATAAGACTCGTAACCACGAAACTTTGCCCAAAGAATCATAATTTGTTGGAGAATGAGTGTACGATTGCACGGTTCTAATTTCCTGTTCTACTAGTAAACATTGTTTTTTAAGATATGATGTACAAGAACACATTGTTTAAAAGTGTAATTATACAAGACAAAATATAAAGAATGAACAAAACTTTTATTTTCACTGCCTCCCATGTTTCTACCCTTTGGAATGTCCTCAGGCGCAAGTTAGCGTAGACCACGGTGAAAACTGCATGAAAGCTCCTGAACTTTGACACCATGGGCTTAAAATTTTAAACCACAATGCATTGCTCATGGAGGTCTTGGATTCTTCATGTTCGATCTCATCGGTTTAAAAATCCATGAAAGTCCAGCTGCGAGCCTGCAAGATGGAGATGCAATCAAAATACTTGAAACAAATGTGAATTGATAACGCCCCCAGTGGATAATTACATCATATGTGCTCGGATTGAAACAAAGTTCAAGGATTAGAATACACTCGTCTACCAAAATTCAGTAGCATATAATGTATATCTTCTCACTAAGAAACATATCTACCTCTAGGGAGTAGATCTTTACCTCTGGGAAGTAGATCTTCTCAACTTCCATCCTCGTGCAAAGGACAGAGATTTTTTCAGTCTCGGGTTTCAGTTATCAAGCAGCCTGCAGCCCTTTGCTTTGAGTTTTGACTCGAGACCAAAAAACTTTAGTCCAGCCAGCACTAAATCGGCAGTCTTCTTCTGCATATGCTCAATTAACATTTCATCATAGACAATCATATCAGCCTCTGTTAAAAGTTTACGACTTTTTAGCTCAGTGAAGACTTCCCTTCCTGCTTGGATCGTTCCATGCTTACACATGCCAGAGATAATAGCACAATATATAACTTCACTAGGAAGGCAACCTTCTTGGATCATTTCGTCCAGCACATCCATAACATTCTCGGCATTACTGGCTCTGCATGCGTGGACAGCCCTCAGCACATATTTAAATTCCATAGGACCACTTTCGTGATTTCCCAGGCATTCACGAACTAACATCATCACAGCATCAATCTCTCCTATTCTGCATAGTCCTCTAGCAAGAGAAGAATAAGCAGCTACAGAAGGAAAATGTGGCATCTCAATGATCTTGTTATGGCATGAACAAGCCTCTTGGATTTCCTCTTTCTCCACAAAACAGCAAATCGCGATACTGTAGGATGTTGCGTCAGGTTGAAACCCAAAATCTTTCATCTCAAAGAAAAGTGACAAGGATTTTTGAATATCCCCCATCTTGTAAAGAGCATCCATAAGAATGTTGAATACGGGAGCTCTGCTGTGACCTTTAGTCTTTAGTACATCAAAGAGATCTAAAGCCATTTTTATTCTTTCTCGTTCCTTACAGAACAACATGAAAAACTGCGGCAGATATTCTTCAGTAGGATATCCTAATTTCTGAATCTGTTCTAGCAAATCACAAAAGTCATCAACTCTCTTCATCACCACATAGGCAACCATAATTGGATTTATGGTCTCCAAATCTGGTTCCAGTTCTTCCTGTACTGCAACTTGGAAGAGCTTATATGCTTTATCCACTTGCTTCACATTACATAAGCCTCTAATAACTGAATTGTATATCTCTAAATCAGCAATGTACCCGGAATCCACCAAATCCTTCCATAAATCACAAGCAGACCCAACCTTCCCATCAACTACAAATCCATTGATCAGAACCTTGTAAATTTCCCTATCAATCAAAATCTTCTTATCCTTCATCTCCATAAACAATTCATAGCCTCTCTCGACCCTACCCCCTTTACACAAACCCATAACTAATGTTCCATAAGCCATTACGTCCGGTTCTATCCCATCGTGTTCCATTTCATCCCAAATTCGTAAACTCGCATCCATATCCCCCTCAGAAACCAATGTCCTGATCATCGCTGTGTAAGCAAAAACATCAGGTTTACACAAATTCTTTCTCATTCTCGTCAGAATTTCAAGCATTTCTTCCATTCTCCCTGCCTTGCATAACCCCTTTATCAGAATCATGAAGGTAGTACTTTCCTCCACCAACCCATCTTCCCGAAAATCCTCATAAACGGACAATGCTAAGTCCAAGTTCCCAGATTTGATCAATGCATCCATTATTCTATTGTACAGGAAAACCCTAGGCTTAACTCCAAACTTCTTCATCTTCTCGTAAATGTAGTAAACCCTTAAACCCCTCTTTTTATCCGCATGCATTCTGATCAGAATTTCGAATTGCTTCTCTGACGGAGGTCTTCCCTGAGAATCCATAAGTTCCGGCAACTGATCCGCCGCACGAAAATGCCCTGTCCGATTAAGGCAATAAGCAAAGGCATTGTAAGCCGCGAAATCGTGCCTATAACCCTTCTGCTTACCTGCCCAATGGAAGAACTTGGCAGCAGTCGCAGGGTGTTTCTCGATCTTCAACACCTCGGCGACGATGTTTGGCGTCACGCGCCGGAGTTTGTTGAGCTCCGCCACGACGGAGGGCCCCCACTGGTCATGGTTCTTACGAAAGGCGTCAAGTATGTAACGTGCGATCGGAGAGAGGCGTTCGGAGGCGGCAGAGATCACCGGGGAAGGGGGAGTTATCGCCGGAGGAAGACGAGATTCTGGGTCCCATTTCCGGAAGTCGAACGTTTTCCGATCACCGGAGGTGGAAGAAGGATCTCTGGAAAGGGATTGGCGGTTGGAGAAGAGACCTCCATAGACGACGGAGCGATTCCGAGAGGGCTTACGATGTCCATAGAAGTAGGATTTTTGAGATCCCTGAGGAAGATTCGGTGGCTTTGGAGATTTCATGGCGATGCCTCTTTCGGTTCAAAGCCTGTTCTTGTTCTTCGGCTTATTGAGAAATTAAACACAAAAAAATAATTTCATACAAGTCCATTTTATTTAGTGTGAAATCCAATAAGTTTCGGCCCACAATAAAACAGAAGCCCATCATGAAGTGGAGCGTTCTTCCTTCGCAGTATAAACCCTAGACATTTCCTCTCTTCACGATTCCACTGCAGATACCAGTTTTTGCCTCCCGAAATCGTTTCAAATCCGAATCGCTCCGGAGAATTTGAAATCGCCGGTAAAACTGTCTGCTTCTGCAGGTTGTTACTCACCGATCGTTGAAAATGTCGATGTCGAAGAGCTCCAAGATGCTTCAGTTCATCAATTACCGGATGCGGGTGACGATCCAGGACGGTCGGCAACTGGTTGGGAAGTTTATGGCGTTCGACCGCCACATGAACCTCGTACTCGGAGACTGCGAGGAGTTCCGGAAGCTTCCTCCGGGGAAGGGGAAGAAGATCAACGAGGAGAGAGAGGAACGTCGAACACTCGGTTTGGTGTTGCTCAGAGGTGAAGAAGTTATCTCAATGACCGTCGAGGGTCCTCCTCCGCCGGAGGAATCTCGTGCCAAGTCTGCTTCTGCGGCGGCGGCAGCTGGTCCCGGAATCGGCCGTGCCGCCGGTCGTGGAGTACCCACCGGTCCGCTTGTTCAGGCTCAGCCTGGACTTGCAGGTCCTGTTCGTGGAGTAGGTGGACCAGCTCCGGGTATGATGCAACCCCAGATTTCCCGACCTCCGCAGCTTTCAGCACCGCCGGTGATTCGGCCTCCGGGACAGATGCCGCCACCACCGCCGGCATTTGCTGGCCAAGCTCCGCCACCTATGATGCGAGGCCCTCCGCCTCAAGGTCCTCCGGCGTACGGAATGAGGCCGCCGCCGCAGCAGTTCCCTGGGCCACCACCGCAATTTGGGCAGAGACCCATGGTTCCTCCTCCAGGTCCGATGATGAGAGGACCTCCGGGTCCGCCGCAGAGGCCCGGAATGCCGGGGCCTCCTCCGCCTCGTCCTGGCATGCCTCCACCGCCTGGTGGTGTTCCTGTATTTGCTCCTCCGCGTCCTGGCATGCCACCTCCACCGAATCCCCATAATCAGCAGCAGTGACTAGGTTAGCAATGCCACCGTTTTCGTTTTCTGTTTGGGCTGTTTCATGGGTTTGTGAAGGCATAGTTGTTCGGGTGAACTCATCAGATTCTAGTGTGTAGCTATTACCTTGATAACTTAGCTGCGATCTCCAAGTCTGCCGATTTGATATCTTAGCTTGGAAAGTTCATAGCTTGTTGATGGGTTTCTTGTTATCTTTAAAGTGATCCCTTGAACGTCGCTGTCATCTCATTTGGTCCTGCGTAATTCATTCCCATGGAAATTAATGAAGAATCTCCACTTTCCCAAAACCCTTATAGCAATCTCGTTAATGCATACTGAATCACTGATCTGTGTGATTTGCCCATTTAGACTTAGAATCATGGACTCATGATTATCTTGGTTGCTAGTTGTTGGAATGTTTTGGTTAGTTTTCCCAGATCCATTCAGAGAGAAGCCAACATAGTGGTCTTCAAATTAGTTTCAGTAGACATGGATAGCTTGCTTGCCATCCATCAAAACCCAAGCCTGGAATCAGATAATCTTTTGCCCCCGCATGCGTCATCCATAGCCATAGCCTTCTGTCATGCATGCCTGAACCTGGTGATTCATTTTCTCCTGTAAAAGGCAAATTCGGCTTTGATAATTCCGAATTCGAACTGATTCGGTGTGGCTTTTACGACCTTCATTCATATCTCATGTAAATTTCAAATAACCTTCTGTCATGTAAGATACATTTATTTTGATACTAGAGAAGGTTCGACAATCTTAAACACAAGGTTCCCCTCCGCTGTTATCATTTTCTGTTCATAGTGGTGCCGCTATAGACTATAAAGCTACGGTTTGGGTTGTGATGTTTTGACTACACAACATCAATTGCATATACTGAAAGATGATATTAACCCAAGTAAGTAAAAGCATTGATAGGAATAAAAATGCATCCGGAAAATTTTCACAAATTTCCCTTTTTAAAATCTCGAACATTGAAGCTATTCCTCCTTGATTTTAAGTCAGAAACGAAACAGGGGACATTCAACTACATAAATGCAATAACAAAGAGTTCTCCTAAACAAAGAAAGAAATGTCGACTCATAGAGAATCACTGAAGAACAGAACCAAGAGACTACCTGCGACTGTTTTTATTTTTGTTGGGGATTCATCAAGGACCCTTTTCCATCTGATCCACCAGTGAAGAAAGCTCCTCCCTCAGCTCGGTGCTTCTCGTCTCGCCACAAAGAAGTCCATGCATCAGTATCAACTCCTCGGGCGTCGCCTTTTTCAGCAGCCCTCTCAGAAGCCTCGTGTCTCTGTCCAACGATGGATCAGGCGCCGCCCCCATTGCTGTTCCTCCTTCTGTGTTCTTCTCTCCTTCCTTAGCCAAATCGACTCCGAATAGCTTTGCCGACTTGTGGTTCCAGTACTCCTCGAGTTGATGATTTGGATCGAGAGCCTCCACCGCCTGGCCATGACCCAATGACTCATCTCTAATTAGAATTGGACATTGGAAAAGATCAAGCGCGAAAAAATGACAAAAGAGAACGGAAATCATTTGCTTGTTTCGGTCAAAGACTGTGTACAAGACCGGATTTCCAGTCATGCCGATTTGCGAGGAAGGACGACCAGAAAGTAAAAGAAAATGGGCAAGAGAGAAGACAGGAACTTTATCATCGGGCAACCGGTAAAGAATGAACCTTTTCTTTCCGAGAGGAGAAATCAAAACAACATGATTAACAAGATTAACGGTCAAGTAAAAAGCAAGAATATTATCACCTGGATTATGTGTGGGGAGAGCAATCCAAACATTTCAAGCCCATTGACAGCCTGCAATGGCGTCAATGAGCCAGGTGGTTGATTGCATCTCTTGAGGATTTCGAGCCTGAGCCTCTGTATCACCATTGCCCAGCACTTCTCAGCTGATATGTTTGAGAAGTTCTCGCTTGGAAATTCTTCTACCGAAACCTGAAATACACTCACAATGAACAGAAAGATTTGATGATGTCGTGCTGTAAACAGATTGAACTCCAAATTCTCGAAATCGTTAAACAAATTTCCTACCCTAAATAGTGGACCAAGAAGCCCTGCATCAAGAATCTCTGAGATGTAGTATGTTACTTTCGTTGGATCAAGCACACTCAAGAACTTAACACGGCTTTTGAATCCTGCATCCTCAATCAGAAGCAAACTCTTAAGAGGGCAATTAAGAATTCAAGGGCAAAAGCTCACACAAAACACCTAAATAGCCGAAATACAGTTTACCTCTAGGGTATATTGCTTGCTTAGTGCACCAGAGCTTTTTAACAACAAGGGATCCGGCTTTCACAAGTTCGACAGAACGACATAAACTTTCAGATGTCGTGTTCTGGTCCTTTTTAGAACCATTTGCCAGTGAACCACTTCCATCTATCTTGGGCAAGCCACTGCGTTCTGCATTGGGATGCGTATCTTCTTTTTGAGATTCAACCATAATCTTCTTCTCTTCCAACTTACTGTTTCTGCCAAGATTTACATCTACAACCGCTTTCTTGTTATTGTCTTCGTGACCTACTGGCTTGTTTGTGCCAATATCGGTTTGTAAGCCTTCAGCACCTAAATGGGGATTGCTATGTTCAGGCTCTGGTGCTTTTGATGAATCCTTTGGACATGAGGTAGCATTATCAACCAACGCTTTCGCAGCATCAAGATCCCCTTCCAATGCTTTAATCAGTGAATGTAACTCATCCATGGTGTGACGGAGAAGAACAAATCTCTCGCTGCTTTCACATGAACACAAGTCTTTTGCATGAGCGAGACATGCATATCGGTCAGGGCAACAGTTGCAGCTTGAAGCAGCCAAATGCAAGTCATAGAAGCACAAGAAGCACTCCCTTTCTCCCTTCGAGTCAAAATCACCCTCCATCTTTAGCAACCTAAAGCTATTCTCTAGACGGTTAAGCCTTTCTTCCTCCATCAGCACCCGCTTCTGTTAATCTTGAAAATGTTAGTTCCATGAATTGTGCCAGAACAGTTACTTCCAATTTTTTGTGTTCTTCTATGAGCAAGTAACATGTATAGGTTATGCATATTGGAGCATGAGTCTTGTAAGAACACAAAAAAGAAATAGAGGAATCGATTCTTCACCTTGACTGCCTTGGTCAGCAATCCATCCTCACCACAAACCCTCTTCCACCTTAGAATCTTAGGATCTTTCTTCCTCGAAACCGACAGCTCCCGCAAGGATTGAACAGCTTCCTGAGCTGCTCCAAGAAGCAGTTTGTCATGTGACAGTGAACTCTTGCGCCGCTGCTTGCTATAGAGCTCAACTGCATTCTGACCATGCACCAGCCAATCAACTGGAGCAACATTTACTGCTTCTGCAAAGTTGAAACCACAATTAAATCCTGAGTGGTATGCCCTTGGAAAGGTAAGAATGAACTCTCCACTGTGCTGGACAGCCCGATAGACAGGTACTCCCTCTTCCTTCAAGATCGAAGGAGACAACTGAGTGACCTGACCAAAAGACAATATCTCAGTTATTACATGCTTCTCCAATATCAACTAGAAGCATGTGCCCTAAAGTAGATTCCGAAAGACTGTCTCACAAGTTCATGCAGCAAGTCGGGCTGTTCATCAAACAAATCTGGAAGATGCTTCTTCATTGCATTCTCAAGGGATGAAGCATGGTCTCCAGGGATCCCATACCACACTTTTGGGTCACCACTGTGCAAGTAGTTCAAGGAATACAGATGATGATCTTCAACATGCTGTTTCAACCAAAGTAAAGCAGATGTTTAGTAAATTTGTTCCTAAACTTAGAAGGGGAAGCATCAAAATTCAAAATTTCAGGTACATCCCAGCATCCTGTTTCTTTACGTTCCTTCGGTAAGGTAAGTTTGTCTATCAATATGGGTTTTTGTGGAACTCTTTCTTAAACTATCTTTTTTTATCAAAAACTGGTCATGACATAATTGAGCACCAGAAGAAAATATCAAACAGAAATACTAAACTATTGGACGCTTGTAGGTACTGTTATAAGGAACACATACAACTCTACTGATGAAACAAAAGATTTTCCTTGATATTCATAACTTACCCAACAGAACGTTGAAAAGCACATCCCGACATAAAGCCATGGGATGACAACTCCAGAGATATCACAGTTCTCAAAACAGAGTACAGATCCAGGTAAACGGGATAAATTATTTAGATTCCAGCCAGATCTAGTGTACTGATCCGAATCACTTTCAGTGGATCCTGATGATCGCTTCGGAAACCCACTTCCAAAGTTGAGTGTTTCCAAGTCAGCTCCATAGTATACCTGTAAAATGCCCAGAAGAAAGACTAGTACAAAAAAATAGAAAAAGCCATGCCAGAAGAAAATTGTGAAAGTAAAAAGAAAAACAAAAGACCAGATCTGCATAAGGGAGAGAAGACAAAATCTTTTGTACAAACCTCCACTTCATCAGTGGCTTGTTCCACTATCCGCCAATATTCACCTTCAATATCCTCAACTGATGGCCTCCATTTCTTGTTTTCAGAAGAGCTGGAATCACAAGGATGATCACCTATCTGAAAGTAACATTCCTTGAAATAATCATCATACTTCTGAAACTCGTCGAGTGTAAAATCTGGCCCAGTCTGGAAACCGAATTTTTCATCCACCTCAGAGGAGGAAGCAGCTTCACAACCAGAAACCTTTCTTCTTTTCGAGATTCCCATTCTTGAATGTCTTCTCCGTTTCCTTTTCCTGCTTTTGGCTGCCTTTTTAAATGGTTCTCTATTTTGAAGCAAGTCAATCTGCTGAATCCGGGTGGAAAACTTCGAGCTCTCCCATATATTTTTCTCCTTGAGAGGGCAGGGAGGCCTCCATGAAGCAGGAGGCACAATTCGACAGATGCCATATGATTCTGCTTTTGGACGTAACTTCTCTATGTAAGCAAGTGTATCCTCAAACTCCTAACAAGCAAAGATGAGAAACAAATGAAATTTGGATAAGATTCATGAACAGTAACAATGCAGAACCAAAAATCTCAATGGGATTCATTAGGATGGAAAAATACCTCAGGAGAGGGATAAAATACAGGTGCTTCATCGATTAAAGGCCTGCAAGCTTCTGCTGGGTTCCACCTAGCAGATATCTCAAAAACGCAACAAAACAATGTCATTCAAGAACAAGGGAGGCAAAAAATAAAAATAAACTCCTAGAAACTGGTCTTCAACAACCAAAACTAAACCATTGATAGCATATCCAGGGGATTTCAACAAAATTGCAGGTTGCAAAGGAACAACAGACATCTGGAAGTACCAGGGGAAAAGCATAGGAGCCAATTTAGAAGCATGAAACACAAGATTTCCAAAGTGACATGCTGATAATAGGAGAGGAAATACAGATCGAAACTCGAAAATATCTTTCTATGGGTTCAGACACATGAAGGTGCAACAATCAAAACATCAACCAATTTTGGCATCCATGACCTTCCCCAATAAATAATCACTGCAATGCATTAACTGAGTGGCATAAATCAGATTTCCTTACTTTCAGACTGGGAGGACTACCGGCAGGTTCAAGGCTACTCTCCCTTTTAGTAGATTGCTTCTCAAAAGCATCCTGCAAAGTACACTTTTATCAGAAACCACGGCAGTATTACAAAGAAAAGCCTTAATCTCGAAGAGCGATTCAGGACAAATGCAAAACGAAACAGAACACGATTGATGAGAGTAGAATTACCAAGTAATTGAAGAAACTGAAAAATCTGACAAACTCGCATTTCTGGAGTGAGAGACATATATAACTTAAATCAGAAAGAGAAGGGGAAAAGGATAAAAACCTCCTTGGCTTGAAATTCTGCTGCAGATGACAGCCGGTCCATTCACTGAACCTAGATTTGCAAAAACCCTACTTTACCTGCTTGATAAGATTAAAGATCGTGTTAGTGACAAACCCTTGTTTCCTCTCTCTGTCAAGTTATAGAGATCATATGGGAGACCACAAATGCACAAAACCCAACCTTTTGCAGAAACCCTAAAACCCAAAACGCATAGAGATTATATCAGGAAAAACAAAATCACATAATATCCAAAATCTGAAAGCAACCCAATACCAGAAATCGCTTAGTGCATCGAACCCAACTTAGATTGCATTCAGCTGAGAGGATTCATCATGCAAAAAACGCTAATTTGGTTGAGAAACCTAGAAGGGTCAGTAATTTCCCAAAGATTGGACAAGGGAAAG